TCTTTCACTTTCCCTTTTCTTATCCCTTTTTTAAACATTCAAACTTTTGTTGTTAAACAGGGTTGCAGTCAGATAATAATGAATTAAACAATAAGAACAACAATTTAGATATCAAATCATCATGTATATTGATAGATCTCTCTCTACAATCTCTCTCTAAGCTAGATTGTCAATGTAGGCATCTATCTTCCAAGGGTAAATATGAACTAATTATACAAAGTGACTTCATTAAAGCTATGTTTTCCGTTTTAATGCTTTATGGTTGTATTCTTGGTTGTGTGGGTATTGGATTTTGGTTATATTTAACGGGTGTCCTGGTTAATGGGTTTTCATCAAGAAAATAGTGGATTTCATAAAGATGTTGCTTTTACGATAAATCATTTTATTTATGAAATTACGATTTAAATTAGTAGTTTTTCGATTTTACTGTTTTATAATGATGAAGAAAACTGTTTGAACTCACTAGGCGTTAAGCATAACCTTTTTGTTTGTCGGTATGTGCATCAGGTCCTTGGGAGAATGGTTCTAACGATACTATGATGAGATGAGTGCTTAACATGTTTTAGCTTATCGTTGATTTCTTTCACCTTTGGAGATTGCGACAGTTATTGGGTTATAATGACACCCGACCTTGACTTGGTCTTTATGTAAGGCTTTGTCTATCATTTGTTGATGATAATCTTAGATTCGATATTTGAGGTAATTCAAGTATTGATTAATAGAAAAGAGATTTACTCTTTATTTGTTTAATGAAAAATTTAAATTAGTCGTTTTTTTCCATATTTGAGGTGTTACAGATACCATTCTATATGGAATAGAGTTTAGGTATACATACATACCATCCTCAATTAACCCATGTTGATTGAATATAAATGCATCTTMAATAAATTTTCTAAAATGAATTAAATATTTTAATAAATAATTGATGCTACAAAAAATAGAGAAGTGTCGAAGTTGAATATAAATTTAATTTTTAATTATTTATTTTAAAAAATTAAAGTTTTGTTGAAGATGATAGTAGTATCTTTTCTGAAAAAGAAATACTGCCTTTTAAAAATGAGGCATATTTAAAAAAAAGAATCCTTTAGCCAACATATAGTAGTGGGTTGATTAGGATTTTCAAAATTAAAATGCTTTTATATGTTCTGTTTTTTGGATTCAATTGTATATAAATTTATTTTGGTTTTAATTTTTGAAGAATTTTAAAAACTTAGGGCTTGTTTGTTTTTTGAAAAAAAGTTCTTAATACCTCTTAAGTCTGACTTGATCAGACGTTTTATTTTCAAACCGTTTGATTTTTTTTTTAAATAAGAGCTAAAAAGCTCTTATAGTCCTCTAAAATTTTAAGTGGTAGTCTAAACTTTTAATGGGCTCTTATTCGCACAGCAGGACACCATATCAATCTCTTGCTTGATGTCCAACTACCAAATCTTACCGATTTGGACACCATATTGATCTCTCACTCGGTCTCAAGCTACCGATCTATCCAAATCATACGATCTGGACACCATATCGATCTCAAGCTACCTATCTATCCAAATCAATCTTTGCAAAACGATCTCTGCAAAACAATTTCTCCTATATATGAGTTATTTTCTGAGTATGATCAAACCAACGAACAAGGAGACGATGACGACACATTTAATGCAAAATGAATATTGCTTCTAGTCGTTATGAGACTTTGTTCGTGTTTATATTTATTCATATTTCAGACGTAAAAACAAACAGTTTGATTGATTCAGATTTCAAACTTCAGCACCACCTCTTATAAATCAGAAGTGAAATCAGATTTCAGACTTCAACACCTCTTAAAAAATAAAGGTCACCTTAATGATGTAGAGGATATTATGTATTTAAAAGAATATATGTGTCTTTGATTTAATTTTAGAACATATTATAATTTCATAAAAAAGAGGGCATGTGTTATATCGTTCCAACTTTTAAAAAAAAAAATCAACTTTTTTGTTTACACTTTTTTGTTTTTGTAGTGGACTTTACGATAAAATTATCTATACTATATTTTAAAGTATTTGATAAAAAAATTTAAAAATCATTTTTTTATGCATAAAGTACTGTATATTGATGTATATTACTTAAAATTCAAAATTAGAAGTAAATTATACATAAACTTATTAAAACTTCATGTTTGAATTCGTGTAACTAACTGCGGATAAAAATAATCAAATAGAGGATAAATATCTCATTTTAAATATAAAAAATCTAAAATATAATTAAGATAATCATTGAGTTCTAACAGAATATTTAATTATTATCTTAAATAAATATTTTTATTAAACCAAAAATAAATTAGTTCATTTTTTTAAATTTCAGTTAAATTATAGTAAAAATTTGAATTAAAGAAATTACACAAAAACAAGAACTTTTAAATAGTTAATTTGATACTAATATTGCTTATTTTTTTTCAAAATTTTATAATATCTTTAAATTTATATTTAATTCAAAAATAAAAACATTTTTTTTTCTCAAAATCACATAAAGTCGTATTATAACATCGATAGACCCAAAATATAAAACGAAACAATAAAATCAAGATGTATCTCGCTGTATTATGCGAGTACACTTATAGTAAAAATAAAACATTTAAACTCAGTTATATGAAAATATGTTCATTTAGATTGTATTTTATTATTAACGAGACATATAAGAAAATAAAATAAAAACCAAACTTAAATGGAAATTGTCACATGAGTTAAAAGTTGTTTATGACATAACCTTAAGTGTTTATAACACGATCTTCATCGATTCAATATGTTATATTTTATACTCTTTTAATGTAAAATAAAATATTCTTAGCATATTCTTATTTAATTATTATCATATAGATTTTTAATAATATCTCAAAATTTATTAACTTTCCAAGTTATACGGTTATGCCTACATGTTTTTTCAGGGGCCGTTTACCCAAATGGTTACCCGATAAATGTTTCCCGATAGGATTCAACATTATTTGTTTTGATACGTAAGATTTTAGTACATTAAAACATATCAATGCAACAAGTTACTGGGTGAGTGCTTACCTGGACAAGAGTCGTCATCATTACTTACCGGGTAAGACTGTATATCCTTTTCATTGCTCTTACCCAATAAGATTTTTGATTCTTATAAATTATATGTAACATTGTTTCACATATGCATCTTTAGATTGATATTTTTCAGATTTTTTTAATAAATATGTCATTGAGTTAACCATGGATTTATATAAGTTGAATACATAAAAATATAAATTTATTAAAAGTAAAAAATGAATATAATATTTAAAAGGTCATAAATGCGTGCATAAAGACAAATTTATCACGTGATACTTTTAACACCAAAAATAGTATAAATATGAATAGGGAAAAAAAATAAAATTTATAAAATTTGGAGATGCTTTAACTTTTTAAATTATGTTGTTAAAGAAATTATCAAATTTTTATTAATACTTTTTACGATGCATATAATCAGTTGGTAAAGAGATGGAACGACTTTGTCTATATAAAAAATAGATTCATTTCGTTGCTGCTAACCTCAGCAGCTAAGTGAACAAAAAGATATCTGGTTACATTGGTAGTTTTGAAAGTTGGTTTTGTATGAAATCAATTAAAATTACCGGTAATTAACTTAAATACTTTTTATATTGATAAATAATTATTAGGAACTCAAATTACAATTCGGAGAAAGAAGCTAAATAAAACCCCAACTTTATAAAATTAATGTGGACATTTAACTATAGTTGGAAATATCCCACAACCACACATGCGTCACTCACTCATTGTCTCATCCTTTGTTTCTGTCATGAAAATATTCTATATTTATTGTTCTGTTCAGTAAAAACTATATTCTATTGTTAATAATAAAAAAACCAATAAACTTTTTTTATTTTAAATGGTTTTAATTCTAAATTATTTTTTTTAATGAAAAAACCTTTAAACTTTCTCAATTTAAATGATTAAGTTCTTAAACTATTTTTTTGAATGTAAAACATGAGTAAAACCATATCCGTTAGCGTTTTCTATTTTATGTATATCTGTTTGCGTGCATCTCAATTATTTAATTTCAAAAGACTCCGAAGTTAACAGTTGGACAAATTTCCAATGGTTTTGAAAGGGCTCAAACCGGTGACCGGTAAGCAAACCCAAAATCTTATATAAAGGACAGCGTTATGAGTCATTTACCAAATGCTTACCGAGTAACACTCACCGACAAGATTAATTACCCTCACTTACAACTTATCATGTGACATTCTTGGTAATAAAAAATGAATTGTTTGTAAGCGTACTAAACCCAATAAGTGTTCATTGGATAAGAGTTTTTTTTCTCACTTACTAAGTAAGACTCTCTCGATCCTTGTTACGCCTCTTTTCAGATAAATTTTTTGGTTCTTGTCATGCTCAATCAGTAAGGTATGTGATATCGATAAACATTTATTCCAAAAATCAGAAATAATAGTCGTTCTCATATAATTGCCGTCCAATTTTCCCTAGTTTTTTGTACGTAATATTATGTTTACGTCTTTTAGAGAAAAAATCATTTTCACAATTCAAACCCTCAAACCTGACGTATTGTGCTTCTTCGGGTAAGAAGATTAAAAACCGGTTACGTCTTTCAAATACCCATCAAGTTAAATGTCTATTTGTATATAGTAATTATGAATAAACAACCAAGTCTCGAGTTATCTCTAGCTATATGTACTTTGTTATATATACGGTTGGGTTCACGTAAGAGTAGACTGTTTTCATGAGACCCGTGAGACCATATTGTTACACTTGAAACTTCACATGCAAAAAAAATCCGAATCTTCACAGCAAAAACCCTGTAAAGGTAACCCTCACAATGTTTTGCTGTGAAGTTTCAAGTGTAAAAAAATGGTATCATGAGTGTCACGAGAACAGGGCGGTCTCACGTGATATCAAGTTTGTCTCTCTCTCTCTCTCTCTCTCTCTATATATATATATATATATATATAAGATCACTCACTAATGCTATACAGTCTACAACCTCTGTCCAAGGTAGGATTGGAGGAAAGCGTTGGTGGGTTATGGGTGGAGAGCCATTCAGAGCTGTGGTTCTAAAGATGGAAGGGTCATCTCCTGCACCATCATAACAGGTTAGTTCTATTCAGATATCGCAGTTTCATATGCAAATCGATCTGGAGTTGTTAATTTCAAGATGAGTTTTCAGGTTGTGCTCTGAAATCATTGCATGCGTATCAGGAACCATAAGCTCAAACTAGATGTCGTCTACATACATTCAATCAAAATAAATGATTCGAAAGAAGCAACTCAACGTTACAATCTCAATTAAGAGTCTTCTGTTCTTGTGAAATTAGTCATTTTTGGAATCCGAAATCGATACAGAATTTCTTAAATTTAGAGTAAATAAGTATCGTAGTCTAAAACATATCAATAACCACATTGTATTCATCAAACAGAAAACAAAATTCGCTCGATTTGAATTCGTGTTTTTTCCTCAAATTGAAAGTTCGGTTTTTATTCAAACCGATAAACCCATATGTTCGGTTCGACAAAGAAAATTTAAATTTTTTTTTTTTTGTTTGGTTACAAGAATTTTAAACCGAATTAATCAAATCGAAAAAATTGGCGAATCTAAAGCAACGAGACAGAAGTACAAATTTCTTGTTATCAGTGTAAAGAATATTAAATTATTTCTACTTTCTACATATTTTGATCGTAACCGGTATATTTTTATAACTGTTAATAACATAAATGTCAAATTATCAAGTTATATTGTAGTTTTAAAATGTGACAGAATATCATATCAAAATCTATCAATATCATGTGGATTGAAAAAAAAAATTATCAGCTTAAATGGATTAAAAAAACCGAAGAAGATAAACGTTTGTTACATTGATTAAGATAACAATCATTATATCAATATACAATAAGGAGCCATTTATCAAATACTTACTCGATAAGTGTTTATTGGTACAATTTAACACTATTATTTACTTACCGGGTAAGATTTTAGTCCACCAAAACGACATCATATGCGCTTACCATGGTAAGAGTCGTCGCCCTCACTTACCGGGTAAGACTCTTGGTCCTTGTCTCGCTCTTATCGGTTAAGTTCTTGGTCCTTACCATATTCACCAGGTAAGGTAATGTGACTTGGTAAGCGCTTATCCGGATAAACGTTTGGTAAACGACACCTAAAACAAACTCCAATTATATTTTGATTCAATCCTAATTTGTTTGGTTCGTTATAGTTGGATTGATGGGTTGTACTCAATCAAATGATTTTCTACGCATCCATAATTGCCACCAACTACGATGGTTGAACTTCAAATAGAATAATTATTAACAAGTCGAAATCAAATACAAATATCGACAAAAGTACTCCCCTCCCCAAAAAAATATGGACCATATGTATGACAATCAAAAAATGTATGTATCAATCATTCACACTTTCCTGATTCCTCGTCCACTTGCTTAATAACCAACCAAAATATTACTTATAGTACTCTATGTATCAAGAAAATATCTGTGTGGTTCTTATATCATTTGTATATAACTTCTATATGTATTTTGTCATTACTGTCGTCCTCTTCTATGGAAAAACTTGTCAAAATTTCACATTTAATGTACATTCTTGTCCTCTTTTTGTATCAAGAACAACGTGTACAATCAAAATGTTGGTTTGGACCATGTATTATTAGCCGGGTTTTTGAAGGCATGACATGACAACACGTGTCTCTCACACATTGTTAACCACCCGTAGGAGTGATTACTATTAAACCAAATGCCATATTGAGGTTATACCAAATAGGTAGATTGCTAATTCTTTTAGTTTTTTCCCATTCTTGTGGTTTTTGTTCGATGGATAAAAACACCTTTTTTGTCTCGATCATTATTATCTCTGCCCAAGTCTCATGTCATGCCAAATATGATATATTTTGTGTTTTTGTCATATCTCATGTTGTACAATCATGGTTACCTAGTCTTATATAGTCTAGTTTCATGTACCAAATGTCACCTTAAGCTTAAGCGCGATTGTGGCATGGCATAATGTGCCATGGCCCTTTCAATGCACGTTTATTTGACGTGTTTCGATTTTTTTTTTAAGTTCAAGTGTCATAATTTTTGTAGGCTTTATACATCATTATATTATTAGGATTGGGTTCCGGTGAGAAGTAGAGTTAAGATGAGAAGCGTAAGAAGGGATCTCCACTCTTAGATGCACATTAGGATGTGATGCACCGAGATTCACCGGATCAATCCCCGTATCAAGAACGATTCATGAGTGAGTTTGAGATTAAATGTGATCAAGTGTCAATATCTCTTCTTATACTTCTTATATTAACTCTCTTTCTCACACGATCTTCGCCCATATTATTTATTTATTGTTTATATGAATTTAAAATTTTCTATAAGTTCTACATATCACTATCTTTGATGAGAATCTTTTAGTATGTTACCATATGAAGGTTTGGAGTCGTGGTTTCATAGGTCCATAGTTTGTTTGCCTAAAAGTTTAGTCCATTGATTACTTTTTATTGTTAGATATTAATTGTTAATGTTAGAGTTTATTAGTTGAAGGTTACTAGAAGCGTACTCGCGCAATGCAGCGAGATACATCATGATTTATCATGATTTTAATATTTCATTTTATTCTTTATCTCAGTCGATGTTATAATATGACTTTATGTGATTTTGAGAAAGCGGTGATGTTTTTATTTTTGAATAAAATATATGTTTGAAGATATCATAAAAATTTGACAAAAATATATCGATATTAGTATCAAATTAACTATTTGA